ACTATACTATGACTTTTTCATAACTTTTTTTGCCTTACTATACTATGACTTTTTTTTACTTTACCATACTATGACTTTTTTTTTTACTTTTTTTGCCTTACTATACATTGACTTTTTTTTTTTTTTAACTTTTTTGCCATACTATACTATGACTTTTTTTGCCTTACTATACTATGACTTTTTTTGCCTTACTATACTATGACTTTTTTGCCATAATATACTATGACTTTTTTGCCTTACTATACTATGACTTTTTTGCCTTACTATACTATGACTTTTTCATGACTTTTTTTGCCATACTGTACTATGACTTTTTCATAACTTTTTTTGCCATACTATACTATGACTTTTTTTTGCCATACTATACTTTGACTTTTTCATGACTTTTTTGCCATACTATACTATGACTTTTTTTTTTACTTTTTTTGCCATACTATACTATGACTTTTTTTGCCTTACTATACTGACTTTTTTTTTCACTTTTTTTGCCATACTATACTATGACTTTTTTATGACTTTTTTTGCCATACTATACTATGACTTCTTTTTTGACTTTTTTACCATACTAGACTATGACTTTTTTTTTTTACTTCTTTTTGCCTTACTATACTAATATGTTTTTTGACATTTTTTGCCTAAACATACTATGATTTTGTTTTGGCTTTTTTGCCTCACTATACTATGAGTTTTTTGGGGGGTTTTATGCTTTACTATACTGTGACCTTTTTAAAGTCTAGTATTTTATTGATTTTATCAAACATTAATTTCTAGGTTCATATGGACCAAATAAAAGACACCGGAGGACAAGAAATTTAATACTTATTCACACAATGTTAATTCTTTTAAGTGCTTTAAAAAGTACAAATCTTTAAGAATTCATATTGTGCATGAAAGAACACAGCTACCGTTTCCTGAAGGCAATTAAACTGCTCAATGAATATGTTTACATAAAATACTAATACATGTTAATTCTACTGATTAACATACATACATACATGTCTTTAAGAATTATAATCACACTACACGGGAATCAATCTTATTGTCCTGGAATGGGAGTTCGTCCAACAGGCTAGGGTTGGCAGCACTGGGTACTGTGCGTTTCATCACTGCACCTTGCCATCCTTACAGCCAGTCAAAGCAACTGATGCGTGAACATCCTCGGCCTACGTTTCCTTCAGCACCTCTGTCAGGTAGTCCAGATTGAATTGCTTATTCATCCTCGTTGGTTGGAATTCTTTCCACCCTGATTAAGCTTCCCTCACCTGGGTATGTGTGCGTTGTATGAGAAGCTACAGAGTGTCGTCCTCCTCTTTTTAACCTATATGTACGTGTTGTCAGCAGTGCAGAGAACCAGTGTGCATCACGTACTCCCAATGGGCTTTTGGACCACTCAGGGGAGTGTCTGTCAGCTTCTTCTATTCCTGGTCTCTCTCTGCATGCTGTAATGATTCCTCCTTCTGTGACAAAGGTGGAGCTAACCGTTGGTTAGTGAGGTTGCTCTTTCAGGATGGGTAGTCCAAGTATTCGTCTCCAACCTTTACTTCTGTGATCTGGAGGATCTAGAACTGTCCTTGAGTTCCTCCAGTGCTTCCTTCTTTACCACAACCGACTCTCTCCAGGTTTCAGGTTGTGGTGTTGTCCCTTCTGTCTTTGGAGCAAGGCAGCTCCCACCTGTGTGTGGAGCAGAGGACAAAGTTACACAATATCTCAACATTTCATCACTACACTGTCTGTGGTTGGGAGCTGGCCCACAAACTCCCGTGTTCAGACAATACTTCGAAAGGGCTGAGACCATTTTTGGGTCTCATCGAAGTTAGGATTAATGGTAATGTGTTTATTCCCAGTTTCTTCACAACATTTAGCCAGTTTATTCTTTAACGTACCATTCTGTCTCAGGGTACGTATCAGGGTGATACATGCGGTGTTGTCTCAAATCCATCCCCAGGAAAATTCTCGTTTCTTTAACTGTATTGTTCATGAAACGGGAACAACTGTCGCTGCCTGTTTTGCTTTTTCCCACTGACATCTGATTTTGCTGTGGGGAAAACTTCAGTCAACAAATTAAGTGATCAGATGTGATCCCTGTTGTTCTCTCCTTACAATATGTTTAGCACATGTCAAACACTTGTAAAAGGGGTTAAAGTGTCACAGTATTGTAAATATATTTGAAAAAAAGGAAAAAGTAGAAAAACACGGAGCAGTAATTAATCATGTGAAGACGTTAGAATAACAACATATAACAAATAATAAAAGATGAGAATAAGAAGAGAGTAAAATGATTTAAAGAGAATGAAAGAACTGAAAAGTATCGAAGTACCTTTTTCTTCTTGTGTTTCAGACAAAAGCAGGAAGGATGATGGCGTCAAGACCAAACCAGACATCTATGGTGAGACCCCCCCCCCCCCCCGTCAGTTTTTAATCCAACATGTCTGATCAGATATTGATTCTGATGATTTCCTCCCTCACTGCAGCTTTAGTGTATTTCAGTAACTGCCAATCATGAACCAGGATTTTTCTTTCTTTTTTTTCCCAGCTGTGTCCAAACCTGGTGAGGGGGAGGGGTTTCTGGACAGCCCCACCCCCTGTCCTGAAGACTACGCCCACTTCTGTGAACACGGCCAGTGTGAGATGAGACAGAACCTTCCCACCTGCAGGTAACACCTGTCTCTGTGAACTGTATGTGTGTGTGTCCTCCTATCTTTGTGAGGACCAGTGTTAGACTCTACTGTGGTTAGGTCTACTGTGCCACACCAGTCTCCAGTTTCTGATGGTTGAGTCTAAAACTGGTTTTGTGAGACAGTTATCTTGGATTAAAGTCAGATTAACTTTGAATAATCCCAGTTTGCTGTGTGTGTGTGTCTGTGTGTGTGTGTGTGTGTCTCAGGTGTGAGGCAGCGTATGGGGGTGCTCAGTGTGATGAGCTGCTGGACTTTAACATCCTGTACGTGGTGCCCAGCGGTCAGAAGCTGCACTACGTCCTCATTGCCGCCATCATCGGAGCCGTTCAGATCGCCGTCATCGTAGCTGTGGTCATGTGCTTCACCAGGTATTCACACTCACATCACTACTGTTGTGTTACTACGACTACTACGGTTATCAATAACTAGAAACACACACCAGAGGAAGTACAGTCTTATCCACACTTTACAAAGCTGGTTAGAAACCCAGTTGACAGTGATGCAGCTGGATGAAATCCTTCCAGACTAATGGATTCTTCTGTGTAAAAATCAACTCTGACTAAAGCTGAAATCCAGATAAAATCTCCTCTGCAAGTCGAAATAAGTTTCTAACACTAAACATTCAACTAAACTAAACATTCATTAAAACACATTCAAATTCAGCAGAGTAGAGAAAGGTATAGAAAAATAGACTCAATGTCCACTTAGGAGCTTTCAATCACATGTCAAGGTCTTCATCTGTGGATACTATAACAGTTTTTCACCTTACTTATTCTATACTGACATTTGAATGACTTCTTACACTACGATGGTTTTTCATGGCTATGTATACGTAACTCATTTTTGTAACTTATAGTACAACATTTTTATAAAAACTGATGATACCGACATTTTGTCATGACGTATATTTTTGTTATAATGCAACATTTTTTTACTTTTTATACTGTGACATATTTTTTATTCACAATACCATGAAATGTGTACTTACCATACTGTGACAAATACTATGACTTTTTTTTATTTTAACTGACTTTTTATTAATGGATGGACAGATGAAGATGGTTCAATTAAGTCACCTGATTACATCTGAACCATCTCCATGACAACTGAGCAATTTGATGAAGACTGTGAGATGTGGTTAAATCTCTGGAAGAAGCCAATGAGTGGACCTTGAGTTAAGATTTCTTGTAGTCAAAGTTCTGTACTGAAGTGAAACATATAGGATCTGGTGTTTCCCTGTCACTAAGTACCTGCTGCTGCAGGTTGTTGACGTGTACTTCCTGTCATGTCCTGCAGGAGGTGCAACAAGACGAAGCGTGGACGGAGACAGAAGCAGCACCTCGGCCACTTCCCGTCAGGAACGTCCTCCAGGATGATGTAGCTGCTCCAGTTTCTGTCAAATACAAGAAGTCCAATTTTTCGTACCACACAGACAGACTGCATTTTTGATATCTCGACTTTTTGGTGCCTCTTTTTTTCCCCTTTTTAAAAAAAATAATTTTAACTTTCTTAAGGGGCCTTATTTTAAAGATTTTCCTCCATCTTTGATTTCTCTTTCTGGCTGCACAGTTTTGTCTCTTCGCTGTCTGCAGATGACGTTTTGTTTTCCATCAGTCAGAGCGGAGACGTACAGTCTGGTTCGTGTTTGTCATGATGCTGCTGCTCTCAGACTCTGAATCACTGTGGATCTTTCAACAGGAAACATTATTTATCTGATTGTATCTTCACTCTGGACCGTCCACATACTAACTGGAAAAATGCTGTTTCTGTTTGTTTTCACCCTGTGGGACGCAGACCGACATTGTTTCTGTTTGTTTAGATTTATTTTGAAGGAAAACTAGAAAATATGTGTAACCTTGTTTATGTGGCATGTACATTAGATATATGCAAATATTAGCTATTGAATACCCAATTCTGAGAATTAACCCCTGCAGAACACCTAATGTTGACATTTAAATACTGAATTCATGTGGTTTGAATTCACTTTTTTCCAGAAACCATATTTGTGGCTAAAATCTTTATTCTGGCATCTGTGGTATCCTGGTTGTTCAGGTTTGAATTTTAACCAATTTTTTGAACAAATTAAAATTTTTACTCCAGAATTTAAGCAAATTCTTTCTTTTCTTTTTTTTCATATTGGACGCTAGAATTTATTTTGCGTTTGGTAAATAATTTCTCTAGGACTAGAAGTTTTACAACTTGAAATTAGAGGAGCACAAGCCACATAAATTTAGATGGTTTTCAAAGTAAAATACTGTACTAATACTGTTATTCTATATAGTCAGTGGTATTTAAATTTCAATATTAACTATTTAGAAGTTTTTTTGCTTCTGTAGTCACCTTTAAATTACGGCATAAAACTACAGATCTGGTTAATTTTTCTGAACTCTGATGAGACAGTTAAAGGTTAAAGGTGGTCACTCTTGCACCAAAACAGCCTTTAGAAATTTAACATGCAACAAGATGTTTGCGAGTCGTCGTTTTGGTCTTGACACCCGGGCTGCAGCAGAAAGTGTCTGAGCAGCAGCCGTGATGAGAGCTGGTTGATTTCTGTAACTGCTGAGGAAAGGAGCCTCAGTGCTTCCTATCTTATCTCCTTTAGCATAGAGGACACTGGAGCTTCCTTTAACAAAGGGAAAGGGGATAATGCCATCCCACAATTCATTGCTGAAGCAACATTTATGCACCCACATCAGTAACATCCTCATGACATTTTCCATCAAGGTCAAGGACTTTTTTTTTTTAATTTCGACTGCAGCCCTGGTTTTGTTTCATACCAATAACTCCCATGATGCACTGCTGCTCACGGTTAGCCTGGTTTTCTTCTGCTTTTCTTTGTCAGCAACATGTTCTAACGCCTTAATACTCCAGGGGCCGCTCTTTATCGGGACTACAGGATCATCAGGGACCACTCGAGCCCTCGGGTGTTTGTGCTGCAGTAGACTTGTGTCTAATGTGTTATTTTCTTTTTTGCTGCATCTCACAGGGTCAAAAATAACTTTTCATGTAACTTAGATTAACTTTTTGTATTTGTTATGATGAGACGCACCTGAAAACCAAAATGCTGTTTTTTCTACTGCTTAAAAAAAAAAAAAGGTACAAGCTGACATGTACAGGTTGTTGTTATAATTATTTTATTGCTTAATTTTCAGATGACGCCATTCCGGAAATGGATTCCAATGTTTTTTTGTGTTTTGACAAACTGCTAATAATTTAAATGACTGTTTGTTTGTTTTGTTTTTTTTTGGTCGAGTTTCTTCTTTTATATAATTTGTAACAATGGTACGAAGTGTCCGTGTTGGTTGTTTTATTGTGGTAGAAGGAGTAGATGAATAAGCTGGGTCGAGGTTCCCTAAAGCATCGCTGCACTGAGATCAGATTTATCTGGAACACAAACATTGGTGGAGCTGTGGTCTCGGTCTCGTGATGCCTGTGGGAATCCGCTCTGATTTTACTGTAGATGTTGCGTACTGCATGAAACAGTGAAGTTGTTGTTTAGACTGTGCTGTAGTTGAACTAGAATTAAATTATGATGTTTGAACCCACTGTGTCACCATTTTTAATTGGTTCTCTCACACTGACAGCAGATCTGATGAGATGCTACTTTGTGGCGTCTAAATTTTACAAGGAAACCACATTTGATTATAATTGGTGGATTTAGAGCTACATACTTTATCAACTGCCAAATTATTTTCATCTAATTACCGGAACTGGTTGTGAATTCTTGATCAGTCTTGTCGACTTATTCTTTAAAAGAATATGTACAGGTCTTAAAAAGCACTGAATTTCTCTCGGAAAAAGGCTTTATAAAGTAATTATAAATATTTGATCTTAAGCCAAAGTATTGGACTAATTAAAATGTTCACCTTATCATGGCGCTGGAGGAAAAGTCTGAGAATCACCAAAGTTATTAGAGTTCATCCCGAGGGGAACATGAATGTCTGAATAAAAGTTCACACTAATCCATCCAGTAGTTGTTGAGATTTTTTAGTCTTGACCAAAAATACTGAAAGGAGGAACCACATATCTGTTGAATAAAATACAAACTACTGTGATTTGAATGCAGCCTTGGGCCTTGGTTGTTATTGATGACATAACACAGAGCAGTAAAGTTGAACATGGTTCACCTTGGTGCCAATGAACCGGACACTTTAACACTTATAACTCATATTGCAGAGAGGTAATGCAGACAAATGTAACCTACCTCGGCCACCTGGAGACGGGCAAGCTGCTGAGGTGTGGGAAGATGCAGTTCCTCAAACGTCCACAAGATGCTGCTCCAAGGAAACTGAAATACAAAACAGATATTGGAGTCAGTTCATTGAACTGCAGGCGTATTAGCATTAACCTGAAGACTCCACCCACCTTCAGTGAAGGAGGAATGAAAACCAAGCGCTCCTGGTGGCTGCTGAGGCAGTCATGTCTTCTCCCGGGAGGCGGAGTTAAATATAGCAGTGCCGGCAGGATAAATATAGGCAGCAGCTGGTGGAGGGATTTTAGATGGCGGGGAGTCCCCTTCTCTCTTCGTCTAATTCCATCCCTCCTTTCTCACCTCACCCCATTCTCTTCACATCCTAACACACTCCTCCTTCCACATCCTCTTCTTCTGTGCTTCAATCGGTTGTCTGAACATTGAAGGCCGTTTTTGGCTACGACTCTGGACAGATCGAAATATGACAGGACGCTGCTTGTGTGTGCAAAAGCAAAGCTACTGAAGAGTCAGCTGATGGGCATCAAGATGGTTCCTTAAATCTGAAAAAACTCTGATAAATATGAAAGTTAATTGGTTTAGGACTGTGGACACCTTTTCCAAGCAAAAGATAACTTTTCACATCTCCAAGTTTTAAAACAAGAGAACGAGGGATCTGAATTCCTCTGGGAGTAATCACTCGTGTACACAGGTAAAACGAACGATAGTCAGCACCAAGTCCAGTTACATATGGAGAAAAGTGAAGTGAGACCTGACCTTCACAGTAGCTGCAGAATCAACATCAAATTACCTTTCAACCAAAAACCTTTGTCACTGACTTTGTCCACAAACGTCGATTGTGAGCAACAGATTAATGATCCCAGTTTCAGACTCTTCATTGGCATCAAGTGCAACCAGTGTCTTAAGCTGCAGTTCCTCTAACGGCCACAACATGCTGACTCCAAGAAAACTTGCAATAAACTCTTTCAGCCATTAAAGCCATTAAATCTACTTTGCAGCTAAAACAAACTTTAGACTACGCACTTAGAGAGTGGATGTGAATGTAGAAATGATGATCAGGTTCAGTCTCGTTGGCCTTTTGATGGTCATTTACAAGGTGCCCAACATGCAAGCTGTAACCATCATAACAACAGCGGTGTGACAGAGCAACACAAACTCAGTGGTTCAGCTTACACTAACTGCATCGGGCTCGGGTCGGGCTCAGAAACCTGCAGCCAGAGCCGAACTCTCCACACACCATGTCTCAGATTAAAGCTGGTGTCAAGTCTTTAAAGGGGAACGCCGCCACTTACTTAATGGAGGGAAATGTAGTTTGTATCTTCATGTATTCATTAAGTTCTGGGATAAACACAAAGTTTTTCTTGTCACCAACCACAGTCGTATCTCATCTTTCCATTCACTTTGAATGCAGCTGTACTGCCACTAAAATTACTTCACACCTCACTCAATATCTAATCAGTTTCATTAGATAAGATCTTCAGATAAGATGATTTGACGCTGTCTATGCTGTTTGATACTTGCTCATCTCAACTCAGGTCTTTGGACGCTCCGGCCAATTTGGCCAAAATGGGACTTCCTGGTTCCAGTAACTCGCTAAGATGGAAGTGAAGACAAGTGTTAGCATCAGGAATGCCTCGCTGCTCATCTGTAGGCCTGGGGATGCCAAAAAAGACCAAACCTGGAGGGAGGGATTGAGACAGAACAAGTGAAAAGGTGACGGTTGATGGATGGATGATGGAGGAATAGATGGGAGGGGGAGGGGGGGGGTTTCCATTCCTTTTAATACACTCATCTCCCAAAGAGGCACAGGGAGTCACTTTACCCTCACTGTATTTTTAGCAGCAGAGAACACAGGGTGAGGCTGGGATCCATGTCACTCTTTATCTATCTCGCTCATTAACACATACATTCCAGCAATATCCATTTCCATTTTGAAATTCTGTGATTGGTGGGAGGTTTGTGGGTAGACCCGGCCTTCAGGAGTCCAACATGACTCAAGTTGGAAGAAGATAAACTTAGAAAGAGATCTCTATTTGAGAGTATTTATTGTCACGGTCTGGACACACGCTTTAAAATCCACAACTACAAACGTTGAGTAAACATTGTTAAAACTCTGATGATTCTTCCTCTAAATTCTCCCTCTGTGTTTCACCTCCTCTCTCTTTTTAGCCTCACCATTCCCCTCCATCCCTCCCTCCCTCCACCCCTCCCTCTCACTCCCTGCAGGGTGGAGTCTATCCGTTGATGTGACCAGTTTCAGGATCAACCTCCAGTTGTAGAGAGGTGATCTGGTCCTCCTGTCCTCCTCCTTTCTGTCCTCCTCCTTCCAGAGGAGGTTTCTATTCCTCCTAGCTCGTACTCCCGCTTCTTCTTCGGATCCTCTGATGCCTCAACCGGCGTTTGTCTCATATCTGTGCCTCTGATCTTCACTGTTTCTGAGACTTTGCTGTTGGTTGCAACAGATAAACTCCTCCTCACCCCTTCTTCCTTTTTACATTTGGATCACCGGGTTCTAGCAGTCACTCAACCGAGCAACCAGCTAACCAACTAACAGACAACCCGACAAGCGACTATGACAGACAAACCGGGCATGCCAGCGGGCGGCGGAGATGACGCAGGAAGCATTATGGCGTTGCTGGAGCGCGTGGCGGGCCTCATGGACAGCGTCCAGACCACACAGCAGCGCATGGAGGAACGTCAGCTGGAGCTGGAGAACACAGTGAAGACCATCCAGGCCGACGTCGTCAAACTGACCAGCGACCACGCCAACACCAGCTCCACTGTCGACCGGCTGCTGGAGAAGACGCGCAAGGTCAGCCGCCACATCAAGGATGTCAGGGTGCGTGTGGAGAACCAGAACATCAGAGTGAAGAAGGTGGAGGCCACCCAGGGTGACCTCCTGGCCAAGAACAAGTTCCGGGTGGTTATTTATCAGGTAAGATTCATAGATGTTTGGTCCCTTGGTTGGAAACTTGGTCCAGTGTCGAGTACTTTGGACCTTCAAGGTTCTGACCATTTGCCTCTGGGGATGATTCTTAATGCAATTCTTGTTGTATCAAGGCGACGGTGTGTTGATTCTCTTCTAGTGAGGGTGTAGAGGCTAGCTGACAGCTACATGACTAAATGTAAAATGTACTTCCAAAGCTCTTGGTATTTCTGCTCATGATTCAAAGAAGGTAAACCGGTACTGCCTCGTCAAAACATAAGAGTACTGGTTTTTGGGGCTCGGGCTTCAGCCGTCAGGATTATTGTACGACTTAAATAACATCAACACCATGTCAACAGAAGACAAACTGAACTATGGGATCAAAGAGCTGCAAAGGGAGAGTTAAACACATGGCCGGTGTAAAGGTGGATGTGGCTGGTGGTTCATAGAGTTGGAGAAGGTCTAAAATAGCTGTCAGCTGACGTCCAGCTCCCACAGACCAGGAGAACTTTTATTATTTAGCAATTAGAAAAATTCATGGCAGAACTTCTCTCCTCATCATAAGCACATTTTTATTCTTTGAGGGACTAAATGGGATTTTGCATTTTACTGCATGATGCCTCCAAAGGTTTTTAACCAGTAGCAAACATTCGTTCGCACATCGGTTTCATCTGTGCAGAAACATGAAGAACCTTTTAGAGAGATGTTGCCAAATGCTGTTTGTGTGTCTGTTTCCACACTCTTCAGATCTAGACTATTAAAACCAAATTAAATCTACACGATCAAGTAAAGATCATAGTCGCGATCTTTACTTCACTTCTCTGAGCTCTTAACATGAAGAAACTGTATTAGCCAATGAATGTCTAGTTCTAGGGGTTGAAATAGCAACAGGAACACACACACCACCGGGCTTCGTTTTACTTCTTTGGCCTTCACAGTTAGCAGCTGCCAGCACGACGGTGACCTGGTTATTTTAGCCCTGGATAAACGTCAGTATGCTGCACGGTTGCACCACAGATCTGGAGCTCACAGAGAGGCTTTCACTTAGAAATTACTATTTGTGAATGACTATTTGGGTGAGAACAAAATCCTCTCTTCCTGACGAGATGCAGCAGAAGACTGACAGATGCCTTTTATTTTTCTAACAATCTGATCTGGTCAAAAACGCCCCTGAACTTTGTGACACTTGTTAAAATAATAAGATATCAATATTCTGAAAAGGCCAATTTGTGCTCCGTCGACAAAAAGAGAAACAAACATAAAAAATAAGACTTTAGTAGCTGTACAGGATTTAAAGTCAGAGTTCTCACTGAGTTAGCGTTCATCAAAGACAGCTGCTGGACAATTTAATGTGCAAACTCCAACAAATATTTTAGTTGTGTGCGCATTAAATAGGCCTATAATTAGCATGCTAACTGCATGCATCTTCCTACGATAACATTAGAATGCTAATTTGCTAATTAACAGTATATCTACGTCAAGAGTGGAGATGAGTGCAAGCTAACATAAATAGCTCTGTGGGGTGTGGTTCGGTTACTGTAATCTGGCCTCTGTAAGGTACAGTCTCAGGTTGCAGGAGTGTAAGTGAGGTCACAATTTAATCAATCCCCAGGAAGCCCGTGATTGGCTGGCTGCAGCTGCTGGATGTCAGGCTTCATAGTGCACACAGGTGTGCACACACACCTGGTGTCCTGGTGTCCGACCTCCACACCCTGACGTTCGTGCTGTCAAGGACACACTGGCTCCTGCAGTGGGAGTTGGCACTGGATGCAAACCATGACCCGTAGAATCATCTGACACGGCAGGACAGAGGATGCTCGGTTCGGCTTGTTTGGTGTTCAGATTGTAGGGAGTGAAAAGAAATCTGGTAATGAACTGGATATTAATTACAACACAAAGCAATGCCGTGTGATTTCAATGAAGAAAAAGTGTAGACTCATTAATCATTAATGTGACACTATCGTCAAAGGTGTGATGGCCGCTCTGACGTATACAACCACTCACCAAACTCACTTACTCCTGTGTAGTATTGGAAAATGGAAAACTTTCTGTTAGAGGAAATATTCACACTAACAGTCCTTTACATCACAGCTGGTTATGACCAGCAGAGTTAGCAGAGCCGCTGTGGGGCTTCTCTACTGTAAGTGACTGTGCCAGCTGAGCGCTGACAGACCAGGTTATTCTGAGTCTGAACCTCCACCATCTCCTAATATAGTTGTCTGCTCTCTCTCCCTTCCTCTCTCTCTCGCTCCTGATGAGCTAACGGCGATCTCTCGGACGAGGGTTATAAATCATTTCGTTAGCCGCTAACAGGCTGCGCTCGCTGTTTGATTTGCTCTGACACAGATGGAGGAAATCCTCTCAAGTCAGCTGTGGGGGTTCAATGCATAACTGTGTTGTCATGGGGTCAAATGGGCTCATGACCTTTGACCCTCCCTCTCTGACTCCTCCTCTCTGCCTACAGTTTAAGAGCAGAGAGGCGTTCAAGCTTGACTCTTGTCTTCTGGTGCATCAACTGTCTTTGAGCTGCTGTTCAGTCGTGTTGTTCTGTGGAGCAACTTGTAATATTTAAATTAAGTCGAACAAGGAAGTGACAAGTTTTCAACAACTCGTCGTATTACGCAGCGAAAGGACACGTCTCCAGCCGTGGATCAGCTGTGATGCTTCATCACGTGACTGAGTCTTTCACCTCACAACTTCTTTGGTAACAGGTGACAAAAATGTATCTGTAGCACTGCCCATTGAGCAGTTAGCATCGCCTGTGGTGAGATAAGAAAATAGATAACAACAGCTCGAGGTTAGCTTAGCTTAGCATGAAGACTGAAAGTAGAGGGAACCACCTAGCATGACTGTTCAAAGTAAAAAAAAAAATCCACCTGCCCACACCTTTAACAGACAGTCCTCCACCTCTAACAGTCACACGTAGGTGTGGCGTTGACGCTCGACAGCAGGCGTGCCTGACACTTGGTGTTATTTTGTACAATAACATGCAAAGCCAACTGTTGGTACAATGCTAATAGGAAGAATGTGGGAAATAAACTCCACAACCAGATGCAAAGCTGCCTGTGCCGCCTCTCCCCAGGCTTCATTTCTCCAGTATGTAAATAAACTGTGATGACAGAAAACAGAAACAATTATCAGCCTCTCCCAGACATTGGATCTGCATAAACGTGATCTGATTGGCAACGAGTGAATCTCATTTGAAGCCTCCAATGTGAATGAGTGTAGCGTAAACTTGATTAGCTGATTGACTGATTAACTCGCTGTCCATCAGTTTTAAGTGACGTTACGCGACGGAACTTCTTCAAGTGGATTGGGATTTGTGCACATTTTCAATTTGTGCAACAAAGAAAAAACTCAGAAAAATGTGAGATCTGCATCATGTTCTCCACATGGTTTCCATCATCGCTGTGAATGAGCTCTTCTTCTTCTGCTGTGGTTTAATGGCAGCGACTGGAGACTCGGCTCCACCAACTGTTCATCTCCATCAACCTGCTGTGAATGGAATCCTGCATTCATTCACATTTTCTTTTCTGATTTTCTCAAAATTCACTTACGTCACGTTTTGATGGAAACCTGCCCAGTGCGTCTGTGCAGTGGCTCCAGCTACAGAACAAGCTGCCAGATACAGTCAGTGGGCACAGCTAACAGCTAGCACGATGGTAGCAAGCCTGGCGAACTCACCATGACAACCCGACTTCAGGAGGTCAAACAGCCACTGCTGTGCAACAACAAAAACTGCGAGATAAAACTCCCTCTAAGAACAAACATTTAATAAAGGTTGCTATTTGTGATGGATTAAACAAACGAGATACATGTTCATTAGTGAGCTTTAGAGCGGGTGCAGTTTTGAACTTGGCTTGCTTTTAGCTTGTTAGCACACTCTGCTGCATGCTCCTGCTGTGCGGCTCAGTTATGACAGTTATGCATTCTGTCAAAGCTTTGGAAATGTCAGCCCCTCTATCAAGTGTCATATAGTGCCTATGATGCATGAAATCAAAGATCCTGATGCTCTCATTAGCATGCTACAGGCTAGCACAAAGGTTCATTTGACTTTATGGATTTCATCATCCAGGACTGACCCAGAAACATCCAAGTCCTCAGATTACTGGATGGAAAATGAATGGTAGTCAGTTTTCTTACATTTGTACTACATACTTTGGTTTCCCAGCTCAGGTGTTCGGGGGCCTCCAAGGGTTCTTAAGGAGGTTCAAGGAGGTCCTCAGTAGATTTATGGCCTTGCAAAGTCAGCTCAGTGCATCTGTCCAGCTCACATTTCACCACAGATCAAAATGTAGAAAACTGCCCTGCAAACTCACGAACTTCATTTACAACAACTTGATAAACTCTGCATCCAGTGATTGGCTGTCAAGAGATTTCTCTTTACTTTTTTGGGCCTCTACTAGTTTTTTGGGTAATTGTGTGTTTCCTTGCTACACCTGTGTGCTGGCTGCAGTTAAAGGCTGCAGGTGTACTGGTTAGCTCCCAGTGTGAATGACTGGGACTGTCTGATGGTGAATAAGGGTCAAACTTCCCTGAGCAGATCAGGTCTGAAGGGATCTGGGTCAATTTGCAGCTTCGGCCTCAACATTTTTGCTCCATTTCATGTTCAGTGTAACCAGATCTTACAGTTACAGACTGGTGCCATGACGCGGCCCGAAGCTGAAAGTGATCCAGCTTTTCTCTCCACGCCGCTGCTCGCTGATATGTTTAGCTTCCTGCAGCAGAGCGCTGAGCTGCAGAAACAGGTGCTGCAGTTTATTTATGGAGGCAGGATCAAGGCCTAAAGTCTACATGACACACTTCAACCAGAGACAGATTTAAACCTGACATCAACAACTGGACTTTGTCCATTTGAATGAGCAGAGAAACGAATGTTTTATATCTGATGCACATTCCACAGAACAAAGTCTCGTTTATCCGTCACTTACTCATGGAGTTCTCTACGTTTCATACTGTTCTGTGTTCTCCTCCCTCAGGGTGACCAGGAGGTCAAAGCTGTTACACCAGGAAATGAGCCAGCAGAACCCAGCGGCAGTGGCGGCGCCAGAGCCGAGGTGGAACCAGACAAGTTCGAGCTCCCCCCAGAGTCGGACGAGGAGTACATGGTGGTGGAGGAGGCGGACTCCTCGGCAGCCGGCCGCATGAAGAAGTCAGGCCTGACACGCATCGAGAGCTTCAAAGCCACATTCTCCAAGCAGAACATGAGCAAGACCCGCGAGAACCTGGGCACCAAGGTCAACAAGTTCGGTGAGCGCATCGTGACGGCCGAGAGGCGCGAGAAGATCCGCCAGTCTGGCGAGAGGCTGAAGCAGTCCGGCGAGAGGCTGAAGGAGACCATCACCAAGAGCGTCCCGGCCAAGCTCAACTTGAAGAAGGAGAGGACTGTGGCGGAGGGCCAGGAAGGAGCTGAGGGCGCCAATGAGGGAGCCATGCCCGTCCCTCCTCCAAAGGGCCGCAAGGGCAGCCCGGACGCCGCCAAGGCGTCTGCCGACGACGGCAAGGCAGAGGAGTCTAAGGTGCCGACGTACGACATGAAGCAGCTATCGTAAACTGTGAGACAGTGGCGAGATCTGGGGCGTTTTCTTTGGACTACTGAGACCACACAGAGGGAGACGAAGAAGTTTTCAGGGTTGCTGCTACCAAGCAGATCTGCGAGCGTGATGATAATGAAGTCTAACATTTGTTTGAAAGTTGTTGAAGGAAGTGAGCGAGGAACGGGCCGGTCACAGATCCAGTCTGACTGAACGTCGAGACAACAACCAAACAAACTCCTGAAATCACTGAGGCTGTTTCATGTGCAGTTATGTGTGTTCTGGACATTTATTACCAAATCAGAATATATATAGTCCTTTTTTGTTTTGTGCTCAATAAACACAGACTTTGGAAAATAAAAGAAGTGTTCAGAGTTCCTCCACGAAACTTTCCCATCATCACACTGCTGCTGCTCACTGGTTTCTGCATGTCGATGTTATTGAAATGTTGAAATGACAAAGCTACATCAGGGTTGTGGCACGTTTGGTTTGTAAAACGTTGGTAGAGAGCTCTGCGCTCAGGACAGGTGAAAAGATTAAAGTCTAAAGGTTAAAATCTCTGATGTCACCGAGGATCGACGTCAGTCACCCGGACAAATGTGTGTTTGGACGCAGCATCGTGATGAGAGGCCGTTTGTTCCTGTAGAGGTGTTTGACATCGGGAGCTGAAGATCTCTGGATAAACACATACAATATATTATATTATACTATATTATGTTTCTTTACAACCCTTATATCATGGAAGTACAGGCTTAAAACCCTTTAACTAATAATTGATTAAAAGTGTTTGATTTTCAAATTGACAGTTGTATAAAGTCTTAGTGAGTCAGTGTTACACGAGGGGAGTGAGACAGTCTTGGAGCTTTAGTATTGATTAGCATTTAGCCAGTGAAAGGAGATTATATTCCACACTGGGGAAATGAGGTGCAGCAGATAACTGCATATTTCAGGGAAATCTTTCAAATGTGGATACAAATGCACGAATCCTTCAGTACACTGTAAGAAATGAAGTGAAAGTATATTTTAAGTAAAAATATTACTCACAAAAAAAAGCTTGCTAACCAGCCTAGCGCTAGCGAGTTAGGCTAAAGTAAGTAAACAAGTAGACTGTCAACTCTTACAAAACTTTTGGTTCATCATTCATCATAAATGGTTTGCAAATACATAAGTGTTTTATGCAGAACTTTTCACGACATTAGAAATTGCACAAATGAAGCTCTGAGGAAATTCAACAGTTGTGAATTTAACATCCTCATCGACTAAAACACAGAATTCAATTGCAAAATCATTTAAATCTGTCCTGTGGGTAAAATTCTGTGGTAAAATATGTGTTTCTAATGCCGAGTATCCACATTTGAAAGATTATCGCAGTTATCTGCTGCACTATAACTCTTTTATTTGAAAGTAAATATTTCATTTTAAGAACTGGTTTTGTATTTTACACGTAGCGAGCGGCGCCTCACTGTGCAACATTAACACTGCAGCTACGAGCAGCAGCGCCTGCCTCCCCGCCGCCCCCCCGCCCCCCCGGCTGCAGTGATACACCGGCACTGCTGCTGGTGGTCACGCTGTGAGAAAACCTTGTAACTACGACGCTCCGACTAACAACCTTTTTACAGTGTTCTTGGTGTTTGTAGCTTCTGTTAGCGAGTGACTGCATGGCTGTAGTTTGTCAGTGATATTATATTAAAGCTGTTTGTCATGTCGAGAAAATAAAAGTTCACTTGAATCATTTCTGTAACCGGAGTCCAGTCTGCTCTTCATCAACTACAGTCTGAGGTTTTATTAACGTCAGTGTTATTACAGAATCTATTACACAAACTGATGACGGCACAAACCTGGAACAAAGAGTCGCAGTGATCAACAAACTGTGAGAGCTGTGAAGAGTCACTGTTGTGATCAAACATCATGTTATTCCTCCGCACCAGTGACAGTCAGAGGAGCGGCCATTTTGTTTTCAGGTTGTCCGTCCATCCGTCCGATTCTCGTGGACGCGATGTCTCAGCAACACCTTGACGGAACTTCTTAAAATTTGGTACAAACATTCACTTGGACTCAAGAATGAACTGATTAGATTTTGGTGGCTAAAGGTCAAAGGTCAAGGTCAACACCTTTTAGCCATTACTCAAGACTTCACACAGCAATTCTGACAAAATTTCTCACAAATGTTTAATATTTTACGTGATTGTGGTTAAACAGGGATCTAACCTGGAACTAGTCTGAGTGGCGGAGGGATACAACCACTAGGAAGTGATTCTAGATTGATTATAAAGCAGGTCTAGTTTCTATTTATATACTCACAATGTAAGAAATATAAAAGTTCGTATTTGGTCCTTTAAATGCTACTGAGCCACAACCATCATTGTCTGTGCAGCGGAACAATAAAGTTTGATGTCGTCATTCACAGTCAGAGGATCACTTGCAGTCGCAGAGCAGCGCTGCGCCGCGCAGCGTCCAGTGCTCCACCGGCTGCATGCTCCGGAGCTGCAGAGAGAAGATGAAGTTCAGGTCAGTGCGACGCGGCTTCTTATAGACGGGACATGAGTACAGCCCGACCACCACGCCGCCGCCGGGCTGACGTTTACTGTCAGCCATGTTGGCTGCGCTGACGGCGTAGACGTGGACCACAGGGAGGGGAGTGAAGAGGACCTGAGTGGAGACAGAGAGAAACTTTATAATTTTTATTATTTATTATTTATGTATTTATTTATTTTTCATTTATTTTTATATTATGTACTTGTATTTTATTTTTGTCATTTCCTTTTCTTCTTTTTTTTTGTACTACATTTTTACATTAATGTATTTTGTTGTTTATATTTTTATTTACGATTTATTACATTTTAAATAATTTTATTTAATATTTTTCTTCTTTACAATTTTATTATGAATTAATTGTATAATTTATGTTTTTTATTATTATGTATTTGTTATACAATCACAATTTGTTTTTTTTTATAATTTTATTATTATTGTTTGAAATTTCTTATATTAGTTACTTTTAAAATTTTTTTTGCAACTTATATTTTTATCTATTTTTATTATCTATTATTTAATATTTAAAAAACACACTGACCTTGGGCGGGGCTTCAGTGAGTTTGGCCCCACGTCGGTCCCATCCAGCCCCGTCCAGAAAGAGGCCATAGATGTAGACCCCGCCCACATCTTCCGGGGGCGGGGCCGACACGTCTTCCCTCATCATCTTGGTAACGTCGTTGCTAAGGGTGACCGTATCCAAGGCCCATCCCCTGGACAGGTTGGAGCGTGTTGTCTCCTGACGCATGGCAGTCAGAAAACCCTTCAAGACCAACCACACACACACACACACACACACACACACACACACACACACACACACACACACACACACACACAATAAACATTCGCTTGTGGAGATAACTGGATGAGACTGAGACCTCTCAGTTCTCTTCAGTGTGAACCGACCTGCGGGTTGAAGAACCCGGTGAGCCAGAACTGGTTGGGTCGGCCGGTGCTGATCCAGCCGCTGAGCTGCTGGTTCCTCTCCAGCAGCTCGCTGAACCAGAAGCCCAGCGTGGCCGACGGCCAGCTGAGGCGCAGCCACAGGCGAGGGATCCGAGCATCAAACATGCAGTCGAGAGCGTCGCGCAGGTCCTCCGACATGATGATGGTGCCTGCAGAGAGAGGGAAGTTCAAGTGTCCTGATCTGTGTGTGTGTGTGTGTGTGTGTGTGTGTGTGTGTGTGTGTTTGTGTGTGTGGTGACGGACCGTCGATGGCCAGTTTGAGGTCAGTGAGCGTGCTCCGTACGCTGCTGATGACTCGCTGCATGCGGTCCACTTCCTGTCGGAGGAAGATGTTCATTGGCTGAAGAGGACCCATCTTCTGCAGTTGACCTTTGACCTTTGAAACACAGTTACTCAGTATTTCTGCAGAGGAACCTGTGACGTGTGTCTCTGTGTGAGTTGATGTTTTATTATGTAACAAAACACTTTTTTGACCTAATTTTACTTTATTGTTATAAATGAGTTTTGCTCTGATTCATGACGCTGACCTGGTTATTGAGTGAAACTGGGACAAGTGATTTATTTTAAAAGTTTTGTGTTTTCTTTCATCTGTATAAACCACAGCTGCCAGACCTGGTCCAAACCCTTTCAGCACTACACACTCACCTCATGTGGCGTGTAGTCAGGTGGAAGCTTCTCCAGCATCTCGTTGGCTAGTCTCTGTACGCTGGCCTCCCTGGTCTCCCCGGCCCCACCCCCGCTGTCCTTCGGTTGGATGTTGATGATGGTGCTGAGCGTCTCATTGGCCAGGTTGGTCTGGTAGGTGATGTCAGCGTTGGGGTGGAGCCCAAACACCTGCAGACAAGAGAAGGTTTAATGATGAAGCTGCCGGATCTCCGCGGTGACAGGTACATCGGTGTGAACTTGGGTCGTGGTTGGACGTCCAGTGTGCTCTGACCTCCGGTGAGTCGACCAGCGGCAGGGCCTCCACGTGCCGCAGGACGTCCTGGACCGTCTTGGCCTTGGCGGGAATGCTGTAGCCCTTATAGAAGCAGAACTTGTCACTGAAGGTGTTCTCACTGAACCAGACACGAGTGAAGGTGTTCAGCAGACGTTTGTCCAGGTCGTCCGTCACTCGGCCGCCATACTGGACCTCACCTGGGCGTGGACACGAGGAAACAACCAGGAGGAAAATGAATGATAAAATAAAAATGATCTAATTAATATAACTAATATCTGAGCAGTTCCTCTCAGTCTCAGAGTTCTGTGATGAAGGAGATAAAGTTATTATATAATATCATTATCTTTTGCTCATCTCACTTTATTTTGTGTTTAAAGTCGTAAAACCTGAAGCTATGACGCTGGAGAACTGATCTAAGCTTTACAGATCTACTGTCTCAGTGTGAGTGTGATGTTCAGTTTGAGGTTTGACAGCGGAGTAAAGAGCTAAAGACCCAGCATGTAGCGCAGGCAGCTCCAGTTCACTCCTCTCCTGGCGTCCAGGTCGTCCAGGTGGTTCTGGACAAACTGCATGCTGG